TTTTATTTATACCTTTCTTTATTTGGAAAGGTTAGTTAAACCAAACCACACATTTAAAAGACTTGAGGATTTATTTATGGTTTGCTTATATAATGGTATAGACACATGTGCTCATATAAACCTAATTTTGAAAGGTTTTTGTGCTTTCTATGTGCTGGATATCCAAGGCCTTAACAACCTAATCAATAGGTTTTTGAATAATTCTGGTTTTAATTTGACTTATTTAAAATTTGAAACATGAGTCAGTTTTCAAAAGACTCCTGTGTGTTTTTTTTTTTAATAGTACTTAGCCACTAAATTCATTAGTGTTTCTTTTCTTTGAATCTCTTTTGTTTGCAAACAAAAGTTAGCTATAGTATGTCTTTATTTCAGCTTATTTATTGATGTCTAAAATTATGGCAATTTGAACATAACCTTGAACTTTATCCTCCCATAAAGACTTTTATTATGTACCTCAGATATGACACATTGAAGGAATCCAAATGGAAAATATTATAGATAATACTGTCTCATGTTTGGGAGGAAATTTCTCACCTTTTTAAACTTAGTTATTCACTGTCTAATGCGCTAAAGTACAAATGGAATATTGACAGTCTAACATAGTATTTTTTATTCATTAGCAGCAATAGTTAGGTGTGGGGTAGATAATGTATTAAGGATTGGAGAATAAGATGAGAAAACACAAATATATTAAAATATATCGAAATCCACATTAGCACAGATTGTGAGGGAATGGGTGGCATATAGAAAAGTCTGGCATGCACATGCCTCTGTCTTTTAGTTACCCTGTGGGTATTTTTGGGTCATTTTGCCATTTAGAGTTATTATGAGAAGTGCATAAGTGAAAATTGATTTCTGTTCTAACAGGTCTCAGTTTGTACAGAGCATTTTTGCCCAGTGTCTGGTGGAACTCTCCTCTGCTAGAAGCACTTTTAGATTCAGTATCCAAGGTCATGACGGCAAAGTGTACATCTTGGTAAGAAATTATTTCACCTGGCTTTTTGTAGCCTAGTAATTCAGAGTCTCAGAAATTCTTTAGTTTTTGCCATTCTTTTTTCTTAATTCTCAGGTCTTGAAAGTAATTGATCAAAAACTTGACTTTGGGTGGTGAACACACAATGCAATTTACAAATGATGTATTATAGAATTGTACACTTGAAACCTATATAATTTTATTAACTAGTGTCACCCCAATAAATTTTAATAAATAATAAAATGATAGTCCGAAAATTGAGGTTTTAATATCAATTTAATTCACAAATCAAATTCCCTTAATTTAATAACAAATGATGAAGTGCCTCTACATACTAGGTACTAGGGATTTAGAGAGCAATAAAACCTGATTCCTGCTCTGTAGAAGTTCACACCACAAATTAAAGTTTTTCACTTTCAGTTTTGAATGGATTTTCTTTGTCAGTATAATACAGTTCTTTCTCTCACTTTTTTTTCTATTTGATACTCGTATTTATGTTTCTTTTTGTTTGTTTATTTGTTTTGTGGTAAGAACAATTAACATGAGATCTATTCTCATCACAGATTTTAAGTACACAATACAGTATTGTTAATGATAGACACAGTATTGTATAGCAGGTCTTCAGCACTTATTCATTTTGCCCAACTGAAACTTTATACCCTTTGATTAGCAACTCCTCATTTCTCCCTCCCCCTAGTACCTGGCAACTACCATTCTACTCTCTACTTCTATGAGTTAGACTATTTTAGATTCCTTGTATAAGCGGAATCATACAGTATGTGTCCTTCTGTTTCTGGCATGTTTCACTTAACGTAATGTCGTCAAGGTACATTTACGTTAGCACATATTACAAGATTTCCTTTTTTAAGGCTTGGTAATATTCTATTGTATGTATGTGCCACATATTTATCTATTCATCCATTGATGGACATTCAGAATATTTCTACATCTTGGGTTTTGTAAATAATGCTGCAACAAACATTTGCAGATTGTTCATTGAGTGCAGATATATCTTTGAGATCCTCATTTCAACACTTTGATGTTTGAGAAGTAGTGCTAAGTTTTGGAAGAGAGGCTGTTGCAATTAGCAGAATCATCCTTTATGTGTATCACAAGCATCTAATGTTATTGCTTCCATTAAAAATAATGTTTTGCAGAAAAGAATTTGGGACATGTATGCAAAAAATTCAAGAATCAGGGCCCAAGTCTCTTCTCTGCCTCTCATCTCTTTTATCTCACCAGTCAACATCTTTTTATTGGAAAGGCACTGTTCCAAGTGCTCAACATAGAATAAAAATGCCTTCAAGGAACTCAAAATGTAATAGGGAAATAAGGTAGCTAAAAAGAGGGAGGGAGTTGAGATTATTATTAGGTGTGGCTTTGTCTCTGGCCATCCATTATGGCAACTCCATGTTTCTGTAATTCCAGATAATTTCCATCAAAAGCGAAATATTTTCTGACTGAAATAGGTACTAAATACACCTCATAGTCTGAAATCAGTTCTAATTTTCTTTTACTGCAAGTTTTTCAAATTAAAAATCAGTAGGAACTTTTTAAACTTACTAATACATAATTAATTTTTTTAATTTTCCTTTTTTAAAAGTAATGCATTCTTGAAACACATTCTGCTATATCATACTATTTGAAGTAAACATTAACAGTATGATATGTGTACGTCAACATTTTTTTCCTATCTATATACATCTATACATATACAAACAGGTATCTATTTGTAAAAAAAAAAAAAATCTTGTGATTAGCATTTCTCTTGAACATGCTTCCTTCACGCTACAGTATATAATGAGGATTGTTTCTTGTTAGTATAAATATAGATCAAATTTTGATTGTATGGCTGTTAAAGATTAACAAAAATAATCTTTGCACTTATATTTTAGTACTTCTTTAGAAATGAATCTTTCTAATCTAATACAGTATTAGAATTTGTGCATTTTAAACTCTGATAATTATCACCTTCCAAAAAAGTTGTATTAATTTATCCCTTAGAGTGGACATACGCGGTGCCCCACCCAAATCCCTTTTCCTTGGCCAGAGCATCCATTTCTCAGCTGCTGAGTGTGTTGGGTTCTAATGGCTCACAGTTGTGCTCTATTCCAGAGGCTGGACCTATCTGACAGATGCTCCCTTGCCCAGAGAGTTTCTTGTCCTCCACTGTTCCTAACCCTGCCCTGGTCAGCCCACTGCAAATGATTTGACCCTGAGGTACAAAAAGCTGAGGTCTCCTGTCTCAAAGTGAGACAAACTGTAGGTGTGATTTCTGCTCCAGAGTTCTATGTGGGATCAGGCCTGCCTAACTGCCTAGCTGAGCTCACATCCCTGCCTAACTCCTTCCTCTGCCTCATCCTGTTTCCCTTACTCCCTTTCTCTTGAGAATATTCCCCGAATGAATCACATACATCCAGATCCCAAGCACTCTTCTACCAGAAGTGTGTAGGAATACCCATCCAAACCCTTCTTCTGAACTGCGTGTTTTCAATCTTTTTGTGTTTGCCAATCTGATAAGTGAAAAAGGGTGACACTCAAATTTTGCATTTCCTTATTAGTATTTATATGAACATTTTTATATCTTTAACATTTACTTCTTGTGTTAATTCTGTTCATATTCTTTACCTGTATTTCTATTGGGCTGGATTTTTTTTTCCTCATTGATTTCTAGAAGTGTTATATAGTATAATTAATAACTTTGTTATATATGTATTTAATATTTCCTCCCAGTTTGTTGCTTTTTTTTTTTAACTTTATCATGTCAGTTGCTCTACCAAGGTTATACTTTGAAAATCTTACCCTTCTTAAAAATTATGTACATGATTCTCTTTTTTTTTTTTTCTGGTATTTTTATAGTTTTGGTTTTTTCGAGTGGTGATATGAGATATGGATAGGGTGGTGATATCCTTATACTTGGATTTTTCTCTCCATATCTTTAGCTATGGCTTTTAAACTCAGACAGTTTGGTGATTGAATCTTTGGGAAGTTCCAAAAATATCAAAAAGTTTTCCCTATTGGAAGACATATCGAAGGCTGATTCCAGTTCTGCTTTGAATGCTGTCAAAGTCCTCTACCAGCCATGCCTCAAAAGCAAAAAGCAGGAATGAAGAGTAAGTTGTACTTTTGTCTTCTCGTTCTACATTATGTTTTAGTTTCTGTTGGCATGTTGGTGTTAAGAAATTAATGAACTAAATGATACTGTACTATTCTACTTGAAGCTTCTAGGAGTCACACTGCTAAATGTTATGCTTTCAAAGTAAATTGAATTATGACAGATGATTCATGCTAATGTGCAGAAAGCTTGCTTTTACTGAAAACAATTGGTCTTTTTCTTGTAATCTCAGCTGTCTGTACATATGGCTGCAGTACTAAATCAGGCTTCAACAACTATGAAAATTTACTGATAAGCACTTTCCAGGCATTCCACAGTAAACAGAACACAGTCCCTGCCTCTTCAGATTGTCATTCTAGTAGGGGGAAGGCTGATTATAAACAAGACAAAAAAAATCAAAGACTAATATGGTTTTTACTGTGATCCCATTTAAAGGCTTCTAGCTCATTTAAACCTAATGACACCCCTGTGGGGTAGGTGCTAATATCAACCCCATTTAGAGAAAAGGACAATAAGACACCATTACTCTCGTGAAATATGAAGCTAGGTGAAGTAGTTTGGGAGAGTAGGATGGGTGTAGGAGGTTATCGTTATATACTGAAAAGTCAAAGAAAGTTCCTCAGGTAAGATGATATTTAATTGGAAAACTTGAAGGAAGTGAGAGAGTGAGCCATATCTGAGGAAAGAGCATTCTCGGCAGAGGAAACAAAAAGTGTTCTTATTTCAACAAATTGGAAGTCTGTACTTGTCCTGTACTCTCAAATGGGTTCGATCGAATTTGTATTAAGAACAGAAAGATCCCAGTCTTCTTCTGGGAAGTAACAAATAAAAATTTTAAAATTATTGCTTGTCTTTTCTTTTTTAAATTATGCAAGCAGAATAAATCATTAAATATTCAGAGACAAACATAAAGTAAAATATGGAAGTTCTCCATCATTTCTCTCTCCAGAAGTAAAAAGTATCTTGTATATTCTTCCACTTTTTTATTGTTTTGCATTTTAATATAATTTGAATGTGTATTTTTTATACTGAAAAAGAAAAAAAAAGCGCTGTCTATTGGGGATTCCATGTCAGTGCTCAGCATTTTATGCATGTACTATAAATTTACCATTTTTCTATTGATAGATATTGGGGTTGTTGCTTTTTTGGTACTGTAATTAGTATTGCACTGTGTGTTGTACATTGTTTTGCGATTGTGTATACTATTTTTGTAAGAAGGAGTTCTAGAAGTAGAACTGCTGAGTCAAAGGGTATGACATTTAACATTTTGATAGGTGATATCAAATTGTTTTTGCAAAAAGGCATTACAAATTTATATTCCCATCTGAAGTTTCTGTAAATGCCCATTTCTCTGCATCCTCACCTAAACTGCTATTTAGATTTTTGCCCATCTGATGTGAGTACAAATGCAATAGATTCACTTGACTATCCTTTTGTTTTACCGAGGCATAATCAGAGATTATTGCTTATGTGTTTGATACTTTGGGGACTTTGTTGAGGTAGTGTGTGTGTAGCGTGTGTGTAGTGTGTGTGTGTGTGTGTGTGTGTGTGTGTGTGTGTGTGTTCTAATACATAGTCAGTTTTTAAGCTGTTCATTGGTTATAGTCTCTATTGACTATATGTTTGTGTACCATTACATATTTATATTTATAAAGTCAAGTTTATTAAAGCCTTTTATATTCATCTTTTATGTGAGATGTAGATTTAGGAGAAGGTATGTTAAATATCACACTATGGTTATACAAAAGTCATTTTCTTCTGGTTTTGATATCACTTTTTGCATTATACATTTTGAAGCTCTGTTATTAGGTACATTAAGATTTGTAGCATGACAACTTGATGAATTGCATATTTTATCAAGAGATTTAGCTCTCTTTTCATTTGATGATATTTTCCTTTAATTCTAATTTGCTTGATGTTAATATGGCTATATTTTGACAGTCTATTTTAATAGTGAATTTAATTTAATTCACATTTATTGTGATTATTGATACAGTTGTACTTAGTCTGCTCTTTTACATTGGTTGCCTTCCTTGTGTCATTTCTTTTTTTTTGGCGATTTCAAAGTAAAAATTATCTATTTCAAAATGATTTTTAGTGGTTAACCTGCAATTTTTAACCTACATACTTACACTTATTTTTTTACAATCAATATCTAGATTTAATTAAGATCCATACTCTTCAGCAGAACAAGAAAAGACTCTTGAGGTTTCACATTTCTCATATTACTCCCTCCCTCACATGCTGTCTCCCTATGTTGAGATCATTTGTGATTCTGATAATGGTGGCAGTTTCTTCTTTAAAAAGTATCAAACCAAAGCTCTACCCCATTTGCTTACCTCTTACTTATACTCATGCATCATGACCATAAATATTTTTATATTTTTATTGTATAAGTCTATTTCCATGAAAATGTTTAAGGGTTGTTTCATGTTTTAAATATACTTACAAATAATATTTTATTGCTTGTATCTTTTTGCTGTTTATTTTTTTCACTCAATATTCTTGGTTTCCTTTTTGATTTGAAGAAGGATTCTCTTTAATAATATTTTTAAACTTTGACTATAGTCAGTTCTTAAATGTCTGAAAATGTCTTATACCTATTTTATCTCTGAAAACCTTTAAGATTTCCTCTTATCTACTTTTTAAGGTTTCATACAGATGTATCTAAACATAAATGTTTATTCAAAATTTTCTCTGTCATAATCTGTTCTTGTCTTACAGATGCAATATTCTCTCAACATCTGTGACAATAATAATTATACTTAAAGTCTTTTGTTTTCTCTAGTAACTTTTTCCTGGGTGTTAATACCTCTTTTTAAAAAGAGATATTGTGTTTGATACTGCATGATGTTGCTTTTCCTAAATGTTTGATGATTTCACTAGAATCTTCCTAGGCTAAGAGGTAAACTCCTTGTGAGTCATGACCTTGTCTGTCTACTTCTAGATGAGTTCTTGTAGAAGTACTCAAAAAAATACAATTTATGTTTACATTTAACAAAACATTTGTTAAATGAATGGTACATGGTTTTCTGCTTATCTTTGTATTTAATAATTACTGTTCATCTATTAGGAACTGTAGATCCTTGTTACCATAGACTGCTTTTATAGGTTAGTGAAAAACACTCAGAGGATATACTAGTCTGGCTGGGCCAGTTTGCCTTTTAACAACTTTTGGCTATTAAGAAAAAGGAAATGGTGGTAGATTCAGTTATGGTGATGAACCTTGTAGTCATTATTATGAAGAATCCTTATACTGCCTTTCTTGAGGAATGTTACAAGGATCTCCCATTTTTTCATTAATTCCTAACAAATATACATGACATCAGAAACATAATGACTATTGTGGATTTGGTTAGTAGATTTTTTTTTAACTCAATATGTCTCGGAGACAAGTCGACGTACAATAAATGAGTTCGATTATTTCAGTTTGCCTGTTTTATGTAACTACTTTTGTTGTGCTTTTTCTCCTGCTCCTGTTTGACTCTCTGTCCCGCAAAGGTGGGAAGGGAACTACTCCAAGTTGTGTAAGCATTCTGTGAGTTATTTACTTTTGTCTCTTAAGGACATTAGTTTCTTTCTTTTTGAGCATGACTGAGCAAACTGTAGACTCACTAGCATATTTTTGGCACATGGGGTGGTGCATTAACTATTTTAATCCAATTGGCTAGAATTTTTTCTAGTGGAAGTATGGATTCCCAGATGGCAGTCTAAAAGAGGAAAATAGCAAATGTGACTATGGTTTTATTTCCTTGAGCACACACAAAAAAGTGACAGGTAATATTTTTAGAATGTTCTTTCTTTCTAGCAATAGACACACATGTCTCTTAACATTTTGAGGTCTGTTTTTTTAGACCTCAATTATCCTACAACTCACATTCTTTAGTTTGCATATCAGAGTTTAGGTACTAAATATTAACTTTTTAGCTTTGGACTCTAAGTTAACTCTGCAGTTTAATTTTGCTAATTCATCAGTTTACCTGTGGCCTCACATTCTCTAGACATTTTTTGGCTGTCACAACCAAAGAGGTGTTTAATGGCATCTAGTAGGGCTGCTCTTAAACATGATAAATGCATCAGAGAGCCCTACAACAAAGAGTTATCCAGCCCCAAATGCTAACAATGTCAAAGTGGAGAAGCCCTGTTCTAGATTGTCTCCTAAAATCAAGCCATGTCTGCATTTTCCCTCGAGTTGTCAAAGCCCACGATTTTCTTGAAATTGTATTTAGGCCTGCAAATAAGAGAAATTTTACTGTGGCATGAGCCAAAATCTCTATAATCTTACATGTTAACTTTATTAGAATAAACAGAATAACTGATAAAATATAATATAAATGTTTATTGTTACACTTTTCTCTTTCTATTAGAGAAACATGAAGAACCGATTTATTTTTATTAAATGATGATGAATTTCATAGGTATCAAATCCTTTGTTCTAATATTTTACGAGAAAAGAACTTAAGGGAATGTAATCATTAAATGTAAATAAGTGTTGTTTTTTTTTTCTCTTAACCTAAATTGAATTCTCTTCATTATATAAGTTACATGAGTCCTAGTATTATTACTGGTTGTTCTTTCCACCTTTTTCTAAAGATATCCAATTTAGGAATCTGGAGAATTTGAACTGAAAAGAACTATTCTATGTTCTACTATTAATAGCATTTTCTTGTAAAATATATTGAGAGAGGAAATGTTGAAGGTATGTTAAATTCACCTCTAGTTTTAGTGAGATTTAGAGATTAAATTTCGTAAACTAACTAGGTTTATCTCTGTTCATATATATTGGTAAATATTGCTTCTAAAATAGAAGTGTTATTTTTGCCTTAAGGTTTAATCATTATTACTTTTTCTAATGAAATAAAAACAAATATGTACATCTCATATGCATAAAATAGTATTAATGGTTGCTCTTATTTATAAAGTAGCATTTTTTTTATTCCTTTATTTCAGC